TCTGAGAAAAACAAAATCGTTCCAGTAACAGTATTTTTTCTTCTTCTTCTTGTGAATCTCTCTTCATCACTCTCCCTTCCTCTTTGTCTTCTGCAGTCAGTGTCAGGCTCTCCTCTCTAAGCTGATTACCGCTCTCATCCTCCTGCCACACCACATCCATGTCACATTTTCTTTAGGGAACCGTTAGAAGAGAGCTGGTAGATTTGGTGCCCCTAATTCAATGCCTATCAGTGTAAACAAAATGAAACATGTCAATATTATCTAGCTTTTGTTTATTTTTTGGTGGAAGAGAAATGTAACATAAGAAATGCTGTAAAGGAAGATATTTCTGTATATTTATCACTGAAAATACAGAAAATAAAATATGACATAGATTGCCATATTTTTCCTCCTTCCTCAAGTCCACCCACTCACTGCCATGATTTCACCATCTTTGGTACTTTGGAAAGGAACGGATGGACTAAAACCTTGCAAACCCTTCAGGGGTTTGCAAGGTGTTTTAGACTTTAAAGTCACACGTTTCAAAATAGCGTTTCACAATTCATGTGAATTTTCTCTGGCTGAAAATGTAAGTGCGTTCGTACTAGTGAGAGGGAATGGTGTGCTTATACTGGGTGGATTAAGGCAGATTTCTATAAATGGATCAGACGAGACAGCAGACAGACTTATAAAAAAAAACATGTTCATGGCTTTCGTTTTTTGAAAAAGGAACTTAATAAACATATGCAGTGATACTGGATATGTGGAAAGAATTTAAGTTCACAAAGAATCCTAAATGGTTGTGAAGAAACTGTGCAATAAAGAAAACAAAAGCAAATTTTGGTGGATTACTTTACAGTGATCTGGCTTTGAATATGGGACCTGCAAAACAGATGGCTGGACAAATGGATGATAAAAAAAAAAAGGTGGATAAACGAACGCCCCACTGGAAGAGTGAATAAATAAATGAATCTGGGATTAATAAACTACTTTTGAATTGAATAGCACTTGATTTCCAGAGATGCAGAGGTCAGGGAGGGTGGGCATGGCTTTCCTCATCGCTCTCTGCAGTGTTTAACAAAAAGTCAGATACAGTATCAATGAAACGATGTAAAGATGAAACGTTCAACATGAACAGCTGACACTCTGGTCTAATAACTCTGTCACACTCAAAATGAGGATGAAGAGCTCATTTTCCCAGGGAATGAACTGCTAGCAAAGAAGAAAAAGGAGCTGGTAAAAGATCTCTCTATTTTGAGAGAGCAACATCAAAAAGAAGCAAATTACACTGCTTGCATGCATATAATTACATAGAATTCCAGAGTTACAGAAATAGGCGCAATGCTAAGCAGTAAAAATGGCATCATACAGGCTCTGAACTGTCGTCGTTACCCACCTATGGTTTGGGTGACGCTCCTTAGTCTCTCCAGCAGCTCCCCAAGAGCCATTTCCTCTGTCTTCATCCACAGAAGCATCTTCCAGAGGGACAGTGGCAACCCAGCTGTCCAGCCAAAATACACTTTCCTGGGAAGAAGAGACAGCTTGGCAGCTTTAGAGAGTGGATGATGGTGAAGATGATGGGAAGTCAAGACTCTACGGTGATGAGCCCAGGCAAGCAGAAGGGAAGAGAGGGGGAGATGCAGCGTGGAAGAGTCACTGAGGATGTGGCAGCGTGGCTGCTTTCTATTTCGGTTTGCAAATTCAGAGACGGGGGGGAAGGAGAGTTCAGATGGATGGTGAGTGTAAAAAATGGATGCTTTCGCGGATGGAGAAGACGCTGCTTAAATGGAGGGTGGACGGATGCTGAAGCTGCTGTGACAGCCCCGGGAATGACGACGAGTCGTCCGTGGAGGGATGCGAAGCAGAGGGGGGGCTGCGGTGAAGACGGGGAGAACTCGTAGCAGCAGACAGCCTCAATCACACATGCATGTTTCAGCCCCAGCACACATGATGGTGCAAACCTGTGAGGACCCAGGCAGACAGATCGGGGAGGGGGAGGGGAAGTGAATGGCCAGCACTGCAGGTTCAAGCAGCTAATGCAACAGCGACATCATGTGAGAGGGAAAGGTATAACAGCTGCGTCATGATCTGAACAGAAATATTACAGGCCATGCAGCTTCAGATATGCTGCATTGCCATCAGGTGATGACCAATGGTATCCCCACTGAATTAAACTGGGGTTACGGAGCTACGGATGATGTAAACTGATGTTTACTTACATGGGTATCTCTTAAGAAACACAACTTGACAGACTTACGCAATGCCTGCACAGCACATGGAAGCATCACTGTCTTCTTGATACTCCACTGACTTGCAGTTACACCTACTGTAGTATTTGCATGGAAGAAGACAAGCAGCTTAAATCAGCAACCAGTTTCACACATAGCCATGAACACCGAGCTCTGGGACGGCTGCAATTACATCACGCCAACGCTTCTGGGCTGTAGAAAAATGGTGGATGAGTTGATATTTCAGATGTGATGCATCATCCCTCACTTCCTTTCTAACAATTAGGATTTGTGTGTTTTTGGTTTTGTTTGTTTGACTGACGTGATTGTGCAAGAGAAATTTGCAAGAGGAAATTTCTCTTGCAAACCATAAAATGTCTTCAAAAGATCTACAGCACTCTCTTACTATTGAGCCTTTCCAATCAGAAAATTCCATAATAATCTTACCCCGACACTTGCAGCATAGAGCAGTAAGTAATTTGGGAATGACTTGCTTCAGCAGAACCGGCCAACTTGCCATCACAGAATCCATCATGACTCCTTCCATGTATCAGAGGGGGCTTGAGCAAAAATATTAGGCCATCTGTTAAAACAAACAACAAAACATATCAAGTGGTCTAACTCAAAGTAAATTTATAATCGATGTCAAGAAGGAAGTTTATTCATCTGACCCCTGCAGTCTTCTTCATGTTAGCATTTTAGCTATCTAATGTTGAAGCTAACATTTTTGTGGCTAAATTCAATTGTTTATACTATTGTCAATAATGGACATATTTTGACAATGATAAGAAATACACGACGTCCCTTTTACCATTTAAGTTCTCAGAAATTAAAAACAGATTAGTAATAGAAACAACTGAGGCGTAACTTCAGTAACTGACCAATCGCTGGTCACCATTTGTCCTGAAGTACAGCCCCCTATCAGGAGGAGCTGAACCTCCATCAGTGTCGCCATTAAGCACCTTTTTATACAAATGTTTATTTTTAGGCATTTTCCTGAAGGTAGATTTCTATAAGCTTTTATTATTTATCTCATTACTCACCTGCTTTTGCATGTACAAAATGTGTCCTTCACAACTTTCACACTCACATCCACAGAGTTTGTGCCCCTCATTCTTCCTGTAGCTGAGAAAGACTTGGGCTTTAACGCTGATTTATCCGTTGTTTCCCGCAAATAACCTTACAGACCTGATGAACGACTCTTGTCTTGGGCAATGCATGGAGTTCTTCTTCTTCTTGTTGCTTTTGATTGCTACTAAAAGTCAAGTAAAAAACAACAAAAAACCAAACTTTTAGTAGCATTACCGCCTCCTACTGGTATGGAGTGTGGTTCTTGATTATCTAATTCAGTGTTTTTCAACCTTTTTTGAGCCAAGGTACATTGTTTTAATTGAAAAAAATCACGAGGCACACCACCAACCAAAAATGTAAACAAAGATACTCTGTGACTGTCTATATTACATATAAAGTCATTCTTATCAAAGTGTCTTGAATAGGAATCTAATAAACACAAAAATGTATTTTTATCACATTTTACATTTTTTATTTCAAAATGCACGTAACATGTCCACTTCAAAAATACACCTGAACAGGGCCACAACACTTAAATTTAAAGAAGTTGTAGAAAACTTCAGTGTTTTACAAACTAATCCACAAGCATTCTTATAGCTGGAATACAGAAAATAATTCTTATTCTGAAAGAAGCAATAATATTTGGAAAAGATTTCACTGTTACAATATGAAGATTTGCATGTACAAAATGTCAATATCTGTATATTTTACCCATCTAGTGTGAAACATGTGCATGTTTGGATGAAAACAGCTGATTTCCTGGCAGAAATTGAAGAAAGACAAAGCTCTTCCTCAACAGCTCTCAGTCTCTCTGGTTTCAGTTTTTATAGTAACCAGGCTTGAGAAGCTCACTTCACACAGTTATGTTGTGGGAAATGGACCCATGTTCTTTCCAGCTACTGCTGAGCTTCACTGTCTTTTCCATCACTGTCGTCACAGTCTTACTAGGTACGATGCTCTCACCGCTACCTGTAACATTCATGTATCACTAATTCTCTTGTTTTAATGTAAAATACTTTGTACCTACTGCCATCTAGTGGTAAGAAAATTACATGATTACTCCGCTATCCACTACTAACCATGGTTTTGTTCACACCAAGCTTAAGTGCAGCGGCTTTATTTCCCTCCTGTAGTGGCAGATCGACAGCCCTCAACTTAAAAGGTGCATCATATGAGTTTGAAAACGTTTCTCCGTCGTGCCTGCTGCTAGCATGTGGTTGTTTTAAATGAAAATCAACGCGTTCTTCTTTGATTCACAATTTTGACTTCTAATGATTCACTTCCTGCTAAAGAGCCCCCTGGTGGTTGAAGAAAAATACACAGAAAAGCCGCACCGGGCTACAATCCGCATGGTTCAAAGTTTAGGAAAAAAGTAGCAGCTTATAGTCCGGAAAATACGGTACCATAGGTGAAATTGAATAATTTCCACGGCACCCCTGACGATCCCTCACGGCACACTAGTGTGCCGCGGAACAGTGGTTGAAAAACACTGATCTAATTCATACCATTTAAATGCATACACAAGGCATTAAGTTTCACCACCTCTGCCATTATCAGATTGTTTGTAGGAGGTTTGATCTACTTCCGTATGAAGGCGGAGCTTGCGTCATGTCAGTTGGAAACAGAAACTAGAAATGGGTAATGTAGATCTCCTGCTGGACAGAGATGGAATTACACATCATCGTAAGAACAGAAAAAAAAAACCTGTAAGAAGGCCATTCATTTCTCTTTCATTCTTTATTACAAGCAGAATGACAATACAGTGCTTTGTCCTCATTTGCTACAGACAGGCTGGCAAAAAGTCAACATGTGAACTTTTAAAATCTTTATCCCAAAAAAAAAAAAAAACAAGTAATTTGTCAAAAACTGTTTAGTAATACAAACAGTGGCATACTAAAGGTACTATGATATGAAGTGTGCTCCTCGGAGCAGAGCAGTCGATGTTTCAGACCTTTACCAAGCTCAGGAGTGACTGGATGAGCACCTGCTGTTGTGCTGATGGACTTAGAAAAAGCAGTTTGACATTCTGATCTGCAATAGAAGGCTGGTGTGATAAACCCGCTGAGACAGAGGCTGGCACCTACAGACAGTTCATTCCTAGTCAGGTCATTAGGTCACTTCTTTTTTTTTTTCTTTTTTTTGTCAATTCTCACCCCATACAATCTTAGAAAAATAACGTGAGGAAGTGTGAACTACAAACTCCAGTTGACAGGCCATAGAGCTTGCTTGTTTCTTTAAGGGTAAAACTGATCTGTTGTGAAACAAAGTGCAGTGTGTCGGACTATAGGTAACTCTAACAAAACCATATAATTTAAATTTTACTCTCACTTTGGTTACAAATGTCAACACGCACTCTAACAGTTAAAATATAGTCTTCTCTCTGAGATACAAAACTATTGAAGAAAATATGAGCACTGGACAAACACAAGAATGACGAGATGAAAATCAGAAGACTCAAATATTAAAAAATAAATAACCTTTACAGCATTGCTGTATTATTAGGGCTGGTGCACAGTATGTAGAAAGTATGGCAACAACACAGTGACCACCACAAAAACGTTAAGGTTTGACCCACGGTGGCTCTTATGGAGGTTTTGGGTTGAAAACTGAGAGGGTGAACCTAAACTTTCCATTAATGTAATAAATCATCTGTGCCCCAGTAGAAAAATACTGAACACCTGTTATCAAATCTATACAAGTTGGCAGATGGCGATGTGTATGAAAATAAACTGTATAAACATATAAAAAATGCTTCAGAATGTCACATTCAAGACTTCCAGAGTCAGTACATTTCTATGTTAGCGGACTAGATAGGCTTTGGACAAAGAGGTCTTCGGAAATGCTTTCAGAAATGCGGAAAAGTGGTTCATCCATTATGAGCTACAATCTTCAGATACAGGACATGATGGACAAATCAGTTCGACATTCTCATTGATTTTGATTGTGACGTCGCCTTTTCAAGTCTCACACCTATTCCCGACAAACTATCTACCTTCTTTAGACTATATATATATATATATATATATATATATATATATATATATATGGCAAAATCTTTGTCATTTACATCCATACATATAACACTGACATCAATAGTTTTATAGAGCATTACAGAAAAGAAAAAAACAAAAACGTAGGAGTTAATGCAACACAGAGACGACCCCTAGTAACACACCTACCTAATATTAGCATTCTGACGTTAGCGTTTTCATGACACATATCATGGCAGCAAATACACAAAGCACATTGCAACAGTGAGGGATAGCAACATTCATAAATCAGTACCCCGCCGTTTCCAGGCTATTACCTCAAGCGGCCACACGGTGGCAGCAGAGGGCATGCTCACTGATCAGAAAGCACAAAATAACTCGATATGTTTTGTGATGATCATGTCTGCAACAAGCCGTGATATACAGAAGAGTAGTACAGCATGCAGAGACAATTCAACATGCTACGCTGACAGAAAAATGAGACAAAGATCGACACAATTAGGAGGGCAGAAAGAAGACGGAGGGGGATAACAGACGCTGTAACAGACATGGAATCCCTGTGAATATCCTTGTACTTTCATGAATGCGTTTTATTTGACCGACTGAAAATGGTGTCCATGAATTAAGGCAGGGTGGCTAAAATACTGCACTTTCCTCTTGAGCTGCTTCATCTCCCCTTTGCAGTGCCTTTCAAAAACATTCATAACCCTTAAACTTTTTCGTACTCCGTCAGAATGCAACTGCAGACTTCAGTGTGTTTTGTTGGAATTTCATGCAGCAGACCAACACAAAGCGGCGAATAAGGGGAAGAGAACTTATACATGGTTTTTAATAAATAAATGTAATAAAAGTATGGCGTGGATATGTGTTCGGAGTTCACCTTTTCGGTAACAACAGCTACAAGTCAGCTTTCAGCATCTTTGCATAACAACTCAGATTGGATCAAGAGCATCGTTGTACATACAAATCTTGCCACAGATTTTAAGTATCTATAGCTGGACTTTGACTCGGTCATTATAACACATAAATCTGCTTTGATTTAAACAATTACACTTTACCTTTGGCTGTATGTCGAGGTGGATTGTCTAAACTCCATGTATATAATAACTTCAAACCGTTTCTTTTCCAGGATCACCATTTTGTTCAGTTTCACTCACTTTTCCATAAACACTGATCGGCTTCCCTCGCCAAGTTGAAGAAAAGTATTTCACACCACAATGGTGTGTTCAGGATTATTGTTTCACCACACACACACACACACACACACACACACACACACACACATTTATGCATGCAGGCCAAACGGTTAAAGTTTGGACCTCTTCCGAGTCCAGCAGTGGCCTCTTCAGTTTTCCATTTAACAGATTCTTACTCCTGAGCTCTGCAGCTCCTCCAGAGTCATCATGGTCCTCTTTGATGCTTTTCTGATTAATTCTCTTCTCCTTGGCAATGTGTTGGTAAGTTAATTTCCTACTTTGAGTTGCTTAGTCACACGAACCCCTCCAAAACTAAAGTTCGTGGTTGCAACAAGACAAAACGCGAAAAAGCCCAGGAGGTATGAATAGTTTTGTAAGGCACCGTAAAACTAATGAACATGTGTGTGTGTCTGTGTAAGGCTTTGTAAAACACCAATTCCTTTTCACGCTTTGCTCCTTTAGCTCCCACTTCTGCTGCGTACCTGTAAGGCAAAGGTGTAAAGGTGTGTGTCACGTACAAACATACAAAAAAACAAGCAATTACATGCGTACTTATAGAGCACATGCACACACGCATACCTAAAGGGCTGAGCAAGACTGCTATCCCCTTACTTGGCCAGACCACAGAGTGTCCATGAACAACACATTTTCTTTTTAAAACAAACATTTACAAAATAAAATAGAAAATGACATGAAAGTGAAGGAAGAGCAATAATGCAAGTAAAAATGGGGATGAGTTCACAAAAAAACCAAAAAAACTAAAAAAAAAAAAAGAACAGTTGCTCAAGGCTCCCTTTGAGTTCTCCAACTGTTCTGATTGGGAGCCTGACAGGAAACTTTGACAGAAAGAGTCCGGGCACTGCAAAGACAACGGTGGTCCACTCAGGTGGACCCCAGAAAATGCACATGATGAACATGGAGAGTCCATGATTTCGAGGGATGCTCAATAAATTCTTGACTCTTGCAATGGAGAGCTTAACGACATCTTGTGATGTTTCTGTTGTTTTTTTTGTTTTCACACAGGCGTCTCCGGTCCAGGAGCGTAGTAGGCAAACCCCGCCCCTGACAGACGAAGCATATATGGGCTGAGACAGGTCAGGTCGGACCCCCCTCCCTCCGCCAGGTGAGCCAGGAGTTTCTGCGGAAGAGGACTGGAGCTGCGGAGGGACAGCGTTTCTGCAGCACCGAGGTGGAGGAGGGTGGAGTCTGTGCTCCTGCCTTTGTAGGATCGACGAAAGGACAGAGGGGTCAGCTCGGCCGCGCTGCCGGACAGCAGCTTCTCGCTGACCTACAGAGACGAGGGAAGTGTCGTCAGGAGACAAATCAGGACTGAACCTGAGAAGAATGAAAACATGCACAACAGCCGACCAAATGTGGAGACGCGAACAGAAAATGAGCCTACAATGACAGGAATAAGAGTTTTGTTTTGAGGTTTTAATAATTTCTTTCTTTTGATTACGGGGGAACTGTAATTTATCCATCAGCTGGTGATGGATCTTTGGGGGGAAATTAACACGAACAGATTGGATGACAAAATCCAGTAATGTCTGAACGGACATTTCTACTGAGTAGTAATGACCTCAGAATATTCCCAATATGAATAATAATAAATTTACACTTGCAGTCCTGGTCTGTAACACTAGATGTCAGGAGATTACCAAAAATATTTTTATAAAAAATAAATAAATAAATATAAAAACACGCAAAACGTGTTTTTTGTGTTGGATTTGTTGAGATAGCAGTAAAATATCACCTTGATGTTGCATCGAAACCAGTAAAATTTGTCTGAATCTCCAAAATATCTTCCATTTCAAAGCTAAACCTACAGATCACGCCTTGAATCTTACTAGTGCTCAAATCCACCATTCCTAAGCGCTACCAGTAATTCAACAAACACAACTACAACACCCTTCAGTAGGGAAGATGTTACTGCAGAAAGGCGACTCAAAGTTTTTCAATATCAGTAAGGAGTTTAAAACAAATCCGGAGGAAGCACGTAGCTGTTATAAACATTTTAGAAAGCAAACTTTTTTTTTTTTTTTTTACATAGGTATGTCAGCAGCTCAATCAATCTGCTGGCGAGGCGCAAGCCATTTAACTCCTTCAATAATGTGTAATTTAGCTGTTTTTAGTCCTTCGTCTTTAGTTTCATCGAGCTGACGAAGGAGAGAGTTGACCTAACATGGACTGCAACAGATAACAGGAAGGCTGAATGAAGGTGTGCAGTATCCAGGGATTAACAAAGAGATTTAAAGATATTGATGGTAACAATGATACTTTTGATTATAATCACTAATACATATGTATATGGCCATACAAACAGTTCATAGTTTAACTCATCTAATTTTTCTAATTTTGTTGTTCTTCATTTTTGGACTACCATTGTAATTTGGTTTCTGTTTTAATTTTTTTATTCTTCTGTGTTGAAACCTTATCAAAATTTAAATTTTTCTTGTTTCCACTAGGTGGAGATGTTTGCATATGCACAGTAAATCTTAAACTTTACACGTAAGAGCTTGAAATTTGTTGTTTCTATGACTTTGCACTACAATAAAAACTGATCAGAATCAAGATTCCAGCAAGTTTTTTAACACTCTCAGGTTCTGGTAATATCTGTTCAGATTCCAATTTGCAAACATAGGATGGAAATTAGTTTTTAATTTAGTGTTTTTTTCTAGAACAGAAAAAAGAAGAGAAGAGAAGACTTTAATCACTAAAACTAGAATATAAGGTGTTAAAATATATATAAAAAAATTTAAATATCTTATGTGTTGTAAGAACTGAAATTTACACCCGCTGAATTGAAAGAAGTTCATATTTTTTGACAGAGGTGTACGCCTCGCTCTCGCCCAGTGACCGCTGGTGACGGGCATAATATTTTTACAGCAATGTTTACAAGAGACTGTTTTGTGTCCAAAGAATTTAGATGACGCATTTTATTTACAAATGAATTTGCGGAAAAAATAAAAAAAAAAAAAAAAAAAAAAGCAAGGGACAAAGAAGGAACACAAAATGAATGAACCCCGGGGGGTTAAGTGGCTCAGGCTCAATAAAAATGGAGGAAAGGTGGAATTCCTCATTTGGCTGCAACCCAGACCCGGCTCATTTTCAGCACGCTAGCAGTGGGAGTCTGATTAGCTGTGGAACTGGCACAGCAGACTTAATTGTGGGGTTATCATTCCCGGATAGTGAGTTTGAGAAAAGGACATTTCTTGAGGAACACATACAAACTGACCTAACCCACCGCCTCTATTAAAACAGAAGCAGCAGCCATGCTTTGTGCTTTCGCCATGGAGGTCTTAGCCCACAAGCTTTGAGATTTCAGATAGTCATAGGTCCAGCATCTTTATGTCCACACTCTCTCTCTCCATCAAACGGCTCCTTCTCGCTGCCTACTTTGCCACCAGATGGGCCAGGAGTCACACAGATTTCCTGGCACCCCGCTATCGCTACCTTCTGTAGATAACGTTAAATGAAGGTTGATAACACAATCTGCTCCAATCTCATGTACTAAATATAGGAATTTTAGGCTTTTATCTCAGTCAGACCTAAAATACGTCCTGACTCAACTCCTTGTTTATTATTCCACCATTTTAGAGCGAGAATATTTCCACAAAAGCACACGAGAAGACCAAATTCTGAGTCATTTTCTGCTCCTAACTTGCAGAAGCTTCCCATGCCTTATTTAACCATCATCAGACTTGACAGCCGCATATTAGACACAACAATGATCACACCAGGGAGTGTTCAGAACAAAGAAGTAGATTACCAGCTTGAAAGTGAATTTAAATCTATAAAAAAAAAATAAAAACACTAAAATGTAGAGAATCCTCCTTACATTTTCACACAGTCTTAGTAGATATTTTCAAAAGTCAGATTTCCATTTAAATAACCGGTAATTGAAATAGCATGACTCGCTGAACAAGGTAGTATCTCAAATCAGTTGCTAAAAGCGACAATAAATTTGATGCTGGCAACAGCTGACACCTTCTTTACTTTATATAAGCTGCTTGTGGAAGTCTACACTGTTTGGACAGTCCCTCTCCTCTTTGACTTAGAAGAAGTCGTCATTTGCAATTTCATTAAAAATAATTACATAATAAGAATCAACAGAGTTCAGGAGTCTTATGGTGCCTCGAAACAATGTTCGTAACTTGTGAACTTTCCTATATCCTGTCGGGATTTTTTGATGGGATTTCATGTGATGAACACATAATCATGAAAGGCCAGTAAGAAATCATGAATGGTTTTCAAAAGTGACCCCGAGCCGCATTTCAATACTTTGTAGAACCACCTTTTGCTGCAAAGACAGCACAAAGTGTTTTGCAGTTTGTTTCTTCCAGCTTTATACATCTAAACATTTTTGTACATTCTTGATTCACTTATTTTGGTTAGCATCGACGGTCCAGTTTAAAATCCTGACCTACAGTGGTCAGGCGGTCAAAAAGCTGGCAATTTTTGAATGAGCTTGAATTACATGCAGTTTCTCCACTGCTAATTCAAAAAACAAAACTGTCTGTAGGCTTGGCTGTTTTTCTGTTTTAAAATTTGGATTTTTGTCTTTTAAGTAATAGAGAAATTAGTAAAGCTTATCAACATGGGTTAGGATAAAACCAAGTTCTGTACTTGCTAGGCATTTGAAAACCTCATCAGAATATTGTTAAAAATAAGAACAAAACAGATCGCAAGTCCAAAAATGCAGGTTGTGAAAATCTGAATTGATAATATCTTACCAATTTTGGCAATTTAGTCAATGCATCACAGATTTCTGAAACATGATATGATGGAACAAAAAAAAAAAAAAAAAGCACTTAGAAGAGAAACGACAGGAATCGGGCTAAACCTCAGAAGTTGTGTTGTCATCAGTGGCTGATTAGCATGGTGTAGAGACAAGCAGTTTGACACTGGACCATGCCAGCATGCACAATCAAATGAGGGCTTAAAAGAAAGTCACCTCCTCTTCCTGCTCCTCTCTCTCTCTCTCTCGTCTCTCTCTGGGCCAATCAGAAACTCATTCTGCTGGAGGACTGAGAAAGCATGAAGATGGTGGACGGCTCCACAGTAAGGCACGGGCGGGTGGACTGTGGTCACCATGAAAGAGCGGGACAGTGCAGCGTGTCGCAACCACACGGAGAAGAGGGGAAAAAAGAAGGGACGACGAAAAAGGTGAGAAGAAGGGATGGCAGGAGAGAGGAAAAATGCAGAAGGGGTTGAAGGAGAAGTGAAAGGAGCAACAGGGAACGTGTCGATACGGATGACGGGGGATCCATAAAGTGAAGTGAGAAGGGGAGGAAGAAGAAAAAGAGCACAGCAGGAAGAAATCAGTCAGACCTTTCACTCGTTTTTTTTCCCCCCTTCCATCTCATGGTAAAACTTGCTTCAAAAGGAGGGTAAAGCTAAACTACTGGGAAGAGGAAGTCAGAGTAAATCCAGCTGGTGCTCAAAGCTATGAAACACATCAACAGTCTTCCTGGATTATTAGTAAAGAGGAGGAGATTTACAGCTTCTGCTATGACGTTGTAACATTACTGACTGGTATAAAGTAGGATTTAAACAATTTCTACTTGCTAAATAAGCAACTCAAGTTGGAAAGAAACTCCATGTGTTGAATTGGTTTAGTAAAGTGTTAGTCGCACTGTGTAACATCAGCAGAGGTAAAACTTCAAATCTATTTTTAAGAATCTTTTTCGTACCTGTGCTCGCTCAGTAGCTGTTGGACAAATAGCCCTGCAGAGGACTTTCTTGATGACATCCGGCAGCAGGCTGACGGTAATGAGGAGGATGATGCTGAGCCACGCTGGGCCACTGGACAACATCTGCATAAACACGTAGTACATCCTCTGGTAGTTCAGGAAGGGCCTGAGCAAGCAGCAGGGAAGACGGACATTTATTCCCAAACGGAATCAGTCTGGCAAAGACCGCGTGGATTGTGGCTGCGTGGAGGCCTTACCAAATGATGCCGCCCCAGAGAAGAGAGAAAATGACGTAGAAAAGCAGCGAGCCCCAGATTACGAAGTGGTTGATCCAAGTCCAGTGACACGTGTCCAAGGCAAGCTGGACCGTAGAGAGAAGAAGCAGTGGAAACAGCGAATCAGTCGGTACAGGAGAAACTCGTCAGTAAATTTACGATTTTAAATCATTTCCTTGTAGTATTTTAAAGTGGTCTTACTAGTAGCCCTAACCCAAACAGATAGAACCAGTGTGATGCGTTATATGTATTGGTCAACTATCGGGTCGAGACCACTGCCCGTTGTAGTCAAAGTGATGTTTTGTCTGGTTTTACTCTGGAAGTTTAAGCTTAAAGTCTTAAACTTTACGATTTACCAAACGATGCCGCCCCAGAGAAGAGAGAAAATGACGTAGAAAAGCAGCGAGCCCCAGATCACGAAGCCTAACCCTAGGCATTTTGTCGCCTAGACGACAAAATGCATATAAAACTCAATAGAGAATATTTGTAGTTTAAAAAATACTCAGAAAAGCTCCTGCTACCTGCTGCTGTGAGCCGTTAAAACTTTCTCTCACTAAAATAGGTAACAAGTGTTATTTGGCCATTTGTTCATGAATAATTTTTGATCATTTACAGCAGCTTACAGAGGTTGTTCAATTATACCCTTACCAAGTATTTTTGTTTTCCTTGGGATGACATAAAAGGCTTTTGACTGCAACACCTGTTTTTATATACTGTTATGTCCTAAGGCCCCTCATAACCTCCACCTACTCCCTCTCTACCGTCTGCAGTTCAAATTTAGCAGTTCTGCAGCTGGCAAGAACCTGTTATGTAATTATTGATCTTGTAAATATGAATCTAGAGCTAAAGAATAAAACTCCTCTGGCTAATTCCTAAACCTTTATTGTTCCCTTTATAGTTCATGTTTTGGAGAACTTCTAACAGGAAGAAGACAGGATTTTTCTCGTTTCGTTTTGCTCACTCACACACCTTGAGGGTCACGGTGAAAACCAGGACAGTAAAGATGAGAGTCCCAAACGTCCAGTTTCCGAACATCTGGAAGAAAAAGATGAAGACAACAGTTAGCGGCCAGGCTAACAGTAAAATAATTACCAAGACAATGACTGTAGACAGCACAAGTGAGCACAAGAAAGAAAGTGTAGGACAATCTCATGTTTTATTATTAACTGTGGAAAAGAGTGTTCATTCAAAAAGATGTTAATTATTATTAGGATAGGATTTTGGTAAAAAATAAAATAAACATTTCCAATTTATTTCACAGCATTCACATGTTGCTACTTGCTGAAATCCTAGCAAGGTTTAGGCAGACACCAGGAGTTAACAGATGGGATGGGACTATAAGAGAGGGGAGGAGAGCGGGGAAACGGGGAAATCGAGGCAAAGAGGACGGCTTATATAACAACTAAAGCTGGCTGTTGGCACCAAAAAAAGCCTATCCAGAATTATTTTAAACGGGCAGATAGCGTAATATTAATAAAAGTACACAGACACACAAGTACACACAAAAACAAACACGGCAGACAGAAAAGGAAACAAACAGATGTTGGATCTAAATCAGCAGCGAATATTAAATTCCCTGCCACACAGCACAAGACAGGGATAATGTGGAGAAGCTTCTAGGATTTCTACCATGTCAGCAGAGTGGTTAAGATTAGGTACTATGCGGGATTCAGAGCGTTGCAGAAATTTAGAGGGGGAACGAAAGCGCTAGGAATCTACACATCCAAATGGGAGTTGCATGGATTAGGTGGAGTGAGGATGAACTGAAAGCATAAACAAGACGACAGGAACTGAAAAGGGGCATGGAAGACAGAGAGAGCTGACAGGGGAGGGAGACAGGCTTACCATCTGTGTGTTGGTGGTCATAAGCTGAAGAAGGAGAAGGAGAAGGAGAAGAAGAAGAAGAGAAGGAGGAGGAGGAGAGGAGCAAAATAAAGAGCGAGGAAGCAGAGAAAAAGGGAGGGGGAAGAAAAGAGAAATGAATCAGGACAAAGGGTAAAATGAATTTCAGGATGTTTAAACTTAAAAAAACAAAAAAACAAAACAAAACAAAACAAAAAAAACAGGACCGAAGGCAATCAAAAACAGTTGACATGATACAAATTAACAATACAGAGAAAGATGCTCTTGTGTTGTTCGATATGAATGGAGATCCGATGTTCCGGCGACAGAAACTTTACTGGTGCTGAGCCATATAGAGACAAAACACGACTACAACGTCAAGTCGCTGCACCTAAAAGCGTCCGGTGAAGATGAGTGAGCGTTCATGGAGACTCCACAGTTATCCTCCCATGACTGATGCCTCTGATGCGCATGTCATGTCTGCCGTTTCTCCTCACTGCCTTTGGCGACGCAGAGAAGCTCACCTGGCCGTTGCTGGTGAAGGTGGTGTTGTCGAACAGGAAGTAGGCACCGAAGAAGAAGATGACCGCGTCGAACACACCCAGGCACGTCCAGTACAGGAAGACGGGCCAACGGAGGAGGGAGTTCTTCGCGATGTCCCTGAGACGCACGGAGGGAAAACGTGTTAATAAAGGTAAACGGGACGCGAGGCGCGGCGTCGCACAAAATCAAACGTCGTCACCTGTACAGAGAGGGCTCCCTCTTCAGCGTGTCGATGGTCACGTGCTGCTCGACCAGGCTGTACAGGAGGATGGGGAGGGAGGTGAAGCTGATGTTGTACAGCGTTAAATACGCCGTGTCGTACAGAGGCTGCAAAGGGACAGAGATGCTTTAGAGGCAGGAACTAAAAGAGTGTTCCTGTTAAACAATGCCAGCTGATTTCTATGCATTTATAACCATGAAACTCACACAAGAAGGAAAACAAAAGGAAAACTCTGGAGTCTGCACCTTTATTATGTAATCTTTTCCTTTTCAAATAGCTCCAACTCCACAGACAGGATGTGTTTTCACACCTTGCTCTCTTACACAATAGCTCTGGGGAAGGATATGATTCCCCTTCCTTCCTCCAGTTTCATCTCTACTAGCAGGGACGGCTACCTGGGTTTGACGACCCTCAGCTTCAGCTGCCTCTCGAGGACATTCCCTCAGAGGCCTGACAACTACAGCTACAAGTGGACTTGATTAAACCAGAGGTGAACACTTCTACCACGAGAAGCAACCAAATAGGAGAAACGCTTAATTTACTTAAATGGTTTTATGATTTATTTATTTTTTACATTTTTATGGTTATATCACAATCCTTCCAATCCTGGCTGACTACACATCCAAAATACTTCTATACAGAAGTTACAGTCTGCGTTCCACAAAAGGACGTTTCTATTAGTTGTGTTTCTTTTTATTAGCTTCCTGTGTGTTTTTATCATCTTATGACGATACTGTTGATTCCCACTGCTGAATAAAATTGAAATCAACTGATAAAGACGACGCCATCCATTATTACTTCCATAACCAATGCGCTGCTGTGTGACGTTAACTTTCGTCTTATAAACAGAAGGAATCTTTAAGGGGAAAAACACTTTTTACAGCTCTCTAGTTACTAGTTCCCAATTTCCAGGGTTTTTATTTCATTCACAAGTAAAATTTGTTTTTAAAACTGTAGTGCTGTTGATAAATTGTGAATAAGCTTCAACAGAATCTTACAATGGGAAAAAGCTTTTTCCTGTACAGTATAAAGTACCTACCTGCTGCGAGAAGCCACAGAAGAACTGATACAGGAACTGAGGGAAGATGAAGCACACATTCTGCAAGGATTTAAGAGGAGAAGAGAGAGGAAAAAAATAAATAAATAAATGATGAACCACAAAAAACAAATCTAAAACTGCAGCTATCTACACATTCCTGTTTATGGTGAGATTATGCCCTATGAGCT